TCTCTCTCTCACACACACACACACACACACACACACACACACACACACACACACACTTCCCTCCGCAGGCTTCCTGTTAATGGCAAGCCCATCTAGGCCAACCCCAACAAGCCCATGAGCCCAAGCAATGACAAAACTCACCCGCCTCCCAAGTATGAGGCAAGTAGGAGCAGTAGCCCACAACTCCTCAAATCCTCAGCCTGTAAGGAACCTGGAAGAGGACACCTCATCTAATCCTGGGAGGACTTTCTTCCATGTGGCCCAGTATTTCCTTGGGTCAAGGATTCCAAAGTCTCAGAAAGCCTCTAGGTAAAAGTTCTTTATTAACTGACTTGGGTCAGGTTCACTGGAAGCAGAACCTAGGACCTGGATGCACGTGCAGGTGACGTATTAGGGGACTCAGTCATGGAACAAAGGAAGAAGAAGTAAAGGAAAAAGTTAACAAGGCTGAGGTTTCCAGTCTAGTCTCAGCCTGACCCCGCAGGGAGACCTGGAGAAGTTGCACCTCAGAGCCTGTCTCACTTGGAGCAAGGAAGCAGAGTACCCACACTAGTCCCACATTATGTGTCCACATCAGTCAGATGTCGAAGCACGCCTCCAGCCAGGCCTCTCCAATGGCTCAGACACATGTGCCCAGCAAGGTTACAGGGGTGTGCCTTCACAGCAGATGCAGTGAGGAGAGGAGCTGGGTGCCCACCCGCAGAATCAACGACCCTCCAACCGTGTTCAGGGACAGCCTGAGTGCCTGCCCTGGGAAATCCACACTCTAGAGAGAGAGGAGACCGGAAAATAGGGGAGCCATCATATTGACCAGAAAATAATCCTTTTCTTTCTTCTTACCATCCCTTAACACTAGACCTGGGCCTCTACTCCTCCTTGGTCCTTAAAGGGACTCTCAAGCCATCCCATAACTCTTTTGGTGACTTTTAGATGATAAGATGTGCTCTTGTCTCTCCTAGTCCCCAGAACAGTATCATTTCAGAAATGAAAATGTCAGCATAAGAAGACAAAGCCCAGAGTTTCTCTCTTCCATCAGTTGAGAACTGCTTGAGGCCGAAGTCAGAGAAGAGAGCATAGGACTCCCTGGACTGCTCCTCCCCATGCCTGGGTTTCTGCTCCTTAGGGGTTAATCTGGGGAAGGGGAGAGCTAAAGGGTGGCAAGTCTAACTGCCCAGGACAGCTCAGTGCTTCTGGGGGGTTAGAAACTCTCTTTCTCCTCGGGTACTTTTTTGGTCTCTCAGAGAGATTCTGCTGCCAACTCCATGACCTGAAAAGTTCTCTGGCCAGAGGCATCCAGCTCATTCCCTCACCCTCCCCACCCTCTCTTAGGCCAGGTCCCTTTTAAGCAGGCTTCTGAAGATTAACAGCTTCTCCCAGCTGCTGGAGGCTGTGTGGATTCCATGCTTAGGGCTGCCTTGCCTCTCTCACTGGTGTCAGACATACAGTGCAGGTTGCCACTTCTTCCAGTCAGGATCTTCAGACAGGTGCCAAACACCAGCCAAGACTCCAGGGCACACAGTCAAGCCCTCCTCTTAAGGCCTTTCTCTTTAGAACTAAACTGGTGAAGAAATAGCCCCATGGTGGTGGAAGTGAAGTGCCTAGTATTCCAGAAACTATCTCCAAAGGAAAATTCTCCCTCCCCTCTCAACTTCAATCCTTTTGCAGACTCAAGGTGGGGGACAGGATAAAAGTCACAGAATTAGTGTTCATCCACCTCCTTTGCAAGTCCTTCAAAGGGCAACCAGCACCCAGCACTGGAATGTAAGGATATCCCTCCCCACTGGTGAGTTCTTGAACTTTGGAGCCTCAGAGAGACATAATGAGTCAAATTGAATCATTCTATCACACAAGTACACAAACAATCCAGTGACTCAAGTTTGATTTATCAGTGCTTGACTTAGTAAGGATATAAGCTATAAATGTGGTGCTAATAAAACACAACAGTGGTGATAAGCATTTAAGAAATGAAAATCCTAGCTGGGCGTGGTGGCTCACACCTATAATTCCAGCACTTTGGGAGCCCACGGGTTTGAAACCAGCCTGGGCAACTTGATGAGATCTCCTCTCTACAATAAATCAAAAAATTAGCCAGGCGTGGTGGCACATGCCTGTAGTTCCAGCTACTTGGAAGGCTGAGGTGGAAGAATCGCCTGAGCCCAGCAGGTCGAGGCTATGGTGGCCATGAGCGGGCCACTGCACTCCAGCCTGGGCGACAGAGTGAGACTCCAACTCAAAAAAAAAAAAAGATCACTACAGCAGTCAAGTGTAGAACAGATGGGAGGGGACAGGAATGGAGGCAGAACCCAGTTAGGCTGTACAGCCGTCCAGAGGGGAGAGGACAGTGGCTAAGACCGAGATGGAGACTGTGGAGATGGCAAAGCATTCCTTCAAAGACTCACCTGCCCCCGCAGAGGCAAAGCAGTTGAGTCCCCAGTGAATCCATGTTCAGGCAGGGCAATTATGCAGACCCCAGGATGCAGGGCGGGGGAAGGAGTACCTAGAACTTCTCGTGGGACACTTCAGGGTAAGCCCTGAGAGATCCAGCCACTATCCTCTGTTCATGGGATGAGGGGCTCTAAAACTCTGCACCAGCCCCTCTGGGACCTGGCTAGTGATGATGATGTTGACACGTGTGCGTGTGCGCTCTGTGCAGACTCAGCTTTAGGTGCCTTGCATTCACTTTCCCCCAAAATCTTATGCAGGACTAAATCGAACTATGCAGAAAAGTCAAAACTGATCACATAGCATGGTTCAACCTAAGGTTACTATCATTATCCTGAAAAGAAAACTGGATACAAAGAGGCTAAATAACTTCCTCAAAGGCATACTACTAGAACGTGGCAGTCATGGCCAGGCGCAGTGGCTTATGTCTGTAATCCCAGCACTCTGAAAGGCCAAGGTAGGGGGATCTTTGGGGCCAGGAGTTTGAGACCAGCTTGGGCAACACAACAAAGCCCCATCTCTACAAAAAAAAAAAATTAACTGGGCATGGTGGTGCATGCCTGCAATCACAGTTACTCAGGAGGCTAAAGTGGGAAGCTTGCTTGAGTCCAGGAATTCAAGGCTGCAGTGAACTATGACGGTGCCACTGCACTCCAGCTTGGGCAACAGAGTGTGACCCAGATTCAAAAAATATATAAAAAGTAAAAATAAAATAGAATGTGACAGTCAGGAGTCAATCACATCCAGTCTACTCCAAAGTTCATACATAAGTCTCCGATGTCAGAAAAGTATGATTCCCAGCTCATAGATGAGGGGCAGGTCACTCAGACATCATATAATTAAACCAATCCTGGTGGACCCAGATTCACACCTGGGTCCATCTGGTTCCAGACCCACACTCTAAGTCAGCACTGTGCAGCAGAACTTTCTGCAATGATGAAATGCTCTGCATCTGCACCGCCCAATAGAGTAGCTGCTAACCACATGTGGCTATTGGATGCTTGAGACGTGGTAGTTCAACTAAGAAACCAAATCTTTTATTTTTTAATTTTTAAGAATTTCAATTTAAATAGCCACATGTGGCTAGTGGCTGCCATATTGGACAGTGCAGTAGCCTGCATTACTGGGCCATGCTGTCTCTTGAAGCAGCAGCAAAAAGACAGTGTGGGGTCTTGCTTGGGTTCTTTTTTATTGAAGTTGTGGGGAGATTGGAAGGGAGCAGGCCTGGTGACTTGAGCCAGTCATCACAGTCCTTTTTGTGCCTGCCTTGCTCACCTGTGTAGCCCCCTCATTCTTTAAATAGAGCCAGTGTGATGTGGACATTACAGCCAGTGAATTGTACACAAAAAGAGCAGAGATGCCTTTTGTGAGAATCTGAGCCATTTCTAATATTTCAGAGTCTTAGTGCTATAGAGATCATCTCATAGACCCCCCCTCATCTCACACATGCGGAAACTGAGGCACAGCAAAGGGGTAGAGGGTTTTCAAGGAGGGACGTTTTGACACCACCTTGTCCTTGGTCATCCCTGTGTTGTCATGAACTTCTGAGCAGAAGCGTTTTATTTATTTTTTCTCATTTCACACATGGAAAATTAAGGAATTTAAAAGGCTGAACATCTTCCCAGCTGTATAGCAATAGGCTGGATACTTCAGGCCACATTTAAACACACTCCACACTAGTTCTAGAGCCAGCCTGAGGCTTATCTAGGGAGAAGCATCTTTTCCCTAGAATTCTCAGTCCACAGGACTCAATGACATGCCAGTTACATCAGGGGGTTCCTCGCGTCTGAACCAGGAATTCCCGGGACTGTGTCTTTGAGGTTCCCCAATTGGTTCTGACGTGGCCAGCCCTGCAGCAACCCTCTGAATTGAATTCAGGAGCTGTCTTTTACGTCCCTCCACCTGCCTTCTCTCAGAAGCAGACCTAATGAAGCTTCATGACCACAGAGAGTTTCCAGAGGTGTTTGAAGAGAAATGAAGAAAATATCCTGGGAGCACGGAAGTGTTCATCTTCTATGTGCTCCCTACACCTCCATGGTTTCTCCCTGCACACACACTACCTTCCACCCCTCTGGTGGGCCCTGACCCTTTCCTACAGGGGCCAGCCCATGATTCTCTGTCACTCTCCACTGTAGGCTGAAAACCGCCATGAGCTCTGAGACTCCCACCCCCCGACAGCTCTCAGAGTACCTGAAGCATGCCAAAGGCCGGACGCGCACAGCCATCCGCAACGGGCAGGTGTGGGAGGAGTCCTTGAAGAGACTGAGGCAGAAGGCGTCCTTGATCAACATCACAGGTACAGAAAACCCACTGGCTCTCTGATAGCAGGAAGGGATCATCTCCTCACAGGAGAGAGCAGAGGCCACCCAAAGCTGCACCTCCTGTCTGCTCAGGAAGCACAGCTGACTCTCCCTTCTTAGAACCATAGACTAGACGGGTAGAACACGGAGGGGGTTAGGGGACAGTTAAGGCAATGTTCTTTTTGCAGAGGAAGGAACGCAGACCTAGCCAGGTCACATTGCCAACTCCGAATGAGGGAACATTGGTGTTCTTTGTATAATGCCATGCCCAGAGGAAGTGCTAAAGTCAATAAACCTGGGCTCCCTGTCCCAAACCACAGTGTCACTCATTTCCTCTAGTAGAGGGAATGTTTGAGCCACTTGTGTTAGGGGAATTTACTAGGATTATGTTGCAGGAGATGAAATGTCCATCTTGTTCTGGGTAACACAGCGGAAACAATGAACTTAACTGGTGGCTTGGTCATGACTTCTTCCAACCCCTCTAACCCCACCTGCAACCAAATGCCACAGCTCATGGAGGGTCATGAGGAAGGGATTCGGTCCTGACAGGAGGAAGAGGCTGCAGGTTCTCCATGGAAAACATCAAGTGAGGGAGGATACCTGGTCTAGGACTTGGACAAATTCCAAGGCTCCAAAAGAAGGAAACTGGAACACGATAGGGAGAAGTAGGGAGCACTTTGGATTCTAAAATTCAAAGGTGCTGAGGGCTGAAGCCCAACCCTGCCAACTTTCACAACTCTTCCCCAAAAGAGGCCCCCATAGAGCTAGATTCCTTCATCTCCCTTTCCTCGCAGACACCAGGATGGCTGAGAGGCTGCTTTCAGAAGATGACAGCTTTTCTCCGCTCTGTCCACACCAAACTCTCTGATGTCTAAAGCCCCTACTCTGCTAGTTATCCTAAGACCACTTTGCCCCTCACTTAAAAATTACCTGTCCCAGGTTGGGCGTGGTGACTCATGCCTACAATCCCAACACTCTGAGAGGCCAAGACGGAAGAGTGCTTGAGCCCAGGAGTTCGAGATCAGCCTAGGCAGCATAGCAAGCCCTCACCTCCACAAAAAAATCAAAAAATTAACTGGGCATGGTGGTGCGTGCCTGTAGTCCCAGCTACTCAGGAGGCTGAAGTGAAAGGATCACCTGAGGCCAGGAGGTCGAGGCTGTGGTGAGTCATGATCATGCCACTGCACTCTAGCCTGGGTAACAGAGTGAGACTTCAACTCAAAAAATAAAATAAAATTACCTGTCCCTTACCAACATCTTTCCTAGCGGTACTCCTGCTTGCTTGGTACTTTAGATGTCAGTGAAGTTTTATAAGAAAAGCCATCTTATCTAACTAACTCATACTAACATATGCTTAACCTCCCAGGGGTATTTTCATTCTAAAACAAAGACTTGTTGATTCATACCAATCTTTACCTGGTCGACAAGGGATTGCTAGTAATCTAAGGACATTCCCAGTTACTCACTCTCTTGTGTCTCTTGGGCACCATGGGTTTCAGTTTCTTCTCTGTAAAATGGGAATAAAAATTCTTACCTTAATAAGTTCTCAGGATTAAATAAGAAACCATCTGAGAAATGCTTACTTAGATCTTGGAATGTTTCCCAAAACATGTAAGTTCATCCCTGATTTCCATGTCCTGCCTCCCACTCGTGCCTCTGAACGGAGAAATAACTCAGTCCTTTGGGGGGGGTCCCTTCAGTTTCAGACCCCAGCCTGGACTTGACTTCGCTTTCTCAGGAAGTAGGCTGTGGTACCCCTGCTCCCGTGGTGAAATGCGACCTGAACAGCCCTTACCGCACCATTACAGGAGAATGTAACAACAGGTGACCCAGCATGGGTGGGTGTGGGGGACAGCGCCTCCCTGCCTCGCCCTCACCACGCCCCGCCTACCTGCCCCACCCCTCCAGTGGCTTTGCCCCCTGGGCGTTCCAGGCTGACCCCCCACTGCCTTGGCCTTCTGGGCTTGCTCCCCAACCTCCCCACCTCCTGCAGATCCCCTGTATCTCACCGGAAGCAGCACTTTCCCCAGGGCGGAGGAGCCCTGCGCCTCCAGCGGGTGGGGGCAGGCCAGAAACCCCGCGTTTGAGAGGCACCTCCTCCGAGCCCCCTTTCCCTCGGGCAGAGGCTCCCGGTCTTCCCCCCATGGGGTCCTGTGTGTTGGAGCCCCTGAGGCTGACGGCGGGTCGTGCTGGTTTCAGGGGGAAGCCCGCGCTAGGCGCCGCCAACAGGGCCCTGGCGCGCTGGCTGCCCGCTGAGTATGAGGACGGGCTCTCCCTGCCCTTCGGGTGGACGCCGGGGAAGACGCGGAACGGCTTCCCTCTCCCGCTGGTGAGGGCGGGCCTGGGGTGGGGGTGGGGGTGAAGGATGGGAATCAGAGGGGAAGGGATGCACTCCCCAAAGGCACACAGAAAGGAGCAGGAAGACTCGGGTGGGCGGATGGAGGATGCGCCATGGAGAGATGGAGATTCGGACTTGCTTCCTGGAGGTGTTCCCCAAAGTGCCAGCAGAGGGCAGCAGAGCTCGGAGCCCGGCGCGCAACCACGTGGTGGTCACGTCCCAGCTGCCACAAGCCAGATACCCTGGGGTCTCCTAGGCAGATGGCCTCCCTGCCCCATCCTGCTCGCGCTTACCCCTGCCCCAGCCCCTGGCGTGCATCAGCTGTTGTTTGCCTGGAGGCCCTATCCGTTGGCCTCATCGGAGCTGGCAGCCCCTACCCAGTGGCCTTCTCCCATCCCCGGACACCTGGCACCTCTATGGCCCACACTTCCGAGGTGGCCTGTCTTTGTTTTCCCTCTTCGTAGTGGAAAAGGAGCTGTCCTTGCAAGTCACCAAGTCATACAGTCCTGGATTCAGTCCTATCCCTGCCCCTTTGTTAGCTTCAGGACCTTAGAGAACTGACTTCACCTCTCCAGAATTCAGTCTCCCCCTCTACAGAATGGTGTAATGACACCCACCTCACCAGCTCCTCAGGAGGATTAAATGTGCCTGTTGCATCATAGGTACTTAATAAGCTGTAGTTGAATCTGAATTCTGAAAGAACTTTTTTCCTCCAATCCGCCCTCCCCTTCTCTCTCCACCTTTAGGCCCGCGAGGTGTCCAACAAGATTGACAGCTATCTGAATGAGGAGGGTGTTTTGGACCAAAACACATCCCTGCTCTTCATGCAGTGGGGTCAAATTGTGGACCACGACCTGGACTTTGCCCCTAACACCGAGATGGGGAGTAGTGAGTACTCCAAAGCCCAGAGTGATGAGGACTGTATCCAGGGAGACAACTGTTTCCCCATCATGGTAGGCCGCTACAGCTGAGTGTCCCTGACAGCCCTTTTCCCAGCCTAAGGCAGCAGACATTCTCAGCTCACCAGCCAGGATCTCTTGGTAGGTCTTGGATGCTGATTTGATGGCTTTGCAAGCCTCAAGTGTCCATTCATTCACTCATCTGTTTATTCAATAAATAGGCATTCACCATCTACTCCCTGCCAGGCAGTGCACTAGGCACTGGGAGCTCAAAAGTGAATGAGACTTTGTTCCTGCTCTCAAGGACAAAAAGGGCCTGTGGAGGAAATAGACAAGTAAATTACTAATGGCAGAATGGGAAAGCTTTGGAGTGGACTGTCCACATCCCTGACCTAGCAACTTGGGTAACCCCTAGGGGCTTATTAGAAATGCAAAAGTCTGGCAGGGCTCGGTAGTTCAGCCTGTAATCCCAGCACTTTGGGAGACAGAGGCGAGTGGATTGCCTGAGCCTGCAGGTTCAAGACCAACTCGGGCAACTTGGCAAGATCTCATATCTACAATAAATCAAAATTAGCAACTGGGCTCGGTGGCTCAGCCTGTAATCCTGCGCCTTTGGAAGGCTTAGGTGAGTGGATTGCCTGAGCCCACGGATTCGAGACTTGCCTGGGCAGCAAGACCTCATCTCTACAATAGATCAAAAAATCAGCCGGGCGTGGTAGTGAATGCCTGTAATTCCAGCTACTTGGAAGGCTGAGGCAGAAGGATCGCCTGAGCCCAGTAAGTCGAGGCTGTGGTGGCCATGAGTGTGCCACTGCACTCCAGCCTGGGCAACAGAGTAAGACTCCAACTCAAAAAAAAAAAAAAGTAAAAGTCTTAAGCCTCACCCCCAGATGTTCAGAAATTGATTCTACATTTTACCAGACCCCAGGGAGAGTCATCTTATTCACAGTGAAGTTTGTGGAACACCATTCTAAGTCATCCTGAAAGATAATTTCAGTTCCCAGAAGGAGTTAAAACTTAGATGAACCAGAGTGAGCAGCAGGGATTTGTGGGAATTTCCAGCACGGAGGGGAGAAACTTGTAGTGCTGCACCTTTTCTTTGTATTCATGGGTTTTACAGTTAGAGTCATTAATTTACCTAAACCACAAATCAAGGCTAGTGCTGTAGTATAAAGAACACAAGCTGTAGGATGAAGCCAATGATCTGAATCCTATGTGTTTCCCTTCCAGTGTGTAAGTTCTTAGGCAAGTTACTTAACTTTACTGAGTCTCAGTTTCCTCACCTGTAAAATGGAGCCAAATTGTCTACCTTACAGGGTTTTCTGAGGACTGAAGTGAGATAAATTGTGTATAATGCCTGACACATGGTAAGCTCAAAATAAATAAGCGGTAGCTGTTGTTGGTAGTAATTATTAACAAACCCTGTCCCGTCTCATGTCCTGCTTTCCTGTTTGGGGATCTCAGGACTCCCTCCCCACCAAAAATTTGGAGGTCTCACTGTAGAGGACTGAAGGATTGCTATCATCTCTCTTGCACAGCAGGATGTAGTGAACTTCTGGATATTACGAGCCCAGGGTGTGTAGCATCAGCAGGAAGTGTCTGGGGTCAGTGTCTGGTCCCAGGGCCCCAGGAGGACACCATCAGCATCTTTGCATCCAGATTTATCCTGGGAAGGTTACTAAGGCCGAGTTGTGCTGTCCCTGCCCAGTTACCTATGCCTAGTCTCTCTGCAGTTTCCGCCCAATGACCCCAAGGTGAAGACTCAAGGGAAGTGCATGCCTTTCTTCCGAGCCGGGTTTGTCTGCCCCACTCCACCCTACCAGTCGCTGGCCCGAGAGCAGATCAACGCTCTGACCTCCTTCCTGGATGCCAGCTTTGTGTACAGCCCAGAGCCAAGCCTGGCCAGCCGCCTCCGCAACCTCAGCAGTCCCTTGGGCCTCATGGCTGTCAACCAGGAGGTCTCAGACCATGGGCTTCCCTACTTGGCCTATGACAGCAAGAAGCCAAGCCCCTGCGAGTTCATCAACACCACTGCCCGTGTGCCCTGCTTCCTGGCAGGTGAGTCTAGGCTGAGACAGAAGGACTGAGGACAGAGGTGTTGTCCAGGGAAGCTTTTCTACTGCTCCCTTCTTGTCAGCTTTCTGGAAAAATGCACACTGAGCCACCACTGCTCCTGGCACTGCTCCAGGACTGGCAGACAGGCCCAGATGAATAAAGCATCTAGAACATGTGTTCGCTGTAAAACAAAATAAAAAGGTCCAGAAAAGCACAAAGAAAATAAAAAGAAGCCGGGCTCGGTGACTCAGCTTGTAATCCCGCGCTTTTGGGAGGCTGAGGTGAGTGGATTGCCTGAGCCCGCGGGTTCGAGACTCGTCTGGGCAACTTGGCGAGACCTCATCTCTACAATAAATCAAAAATCAGCTAGGCATGGTAGCGCGTGCCTGTAGTTCCAGCTACTTGGAAGGCTGAGGCGGAAGGATCGCCGGAGCCCAGCAGGTCGAGGCTGCGGTGGCCGGGAGTGGCCACTGCACTCAGTCTGGGCGACAGAGTGAGACTCCAACTCAAAAAAAAAAAAAAAAAGAAAAGAAAAAGAAAATTCACACAGTCCCATCACCCTCCGATAATCAGTGTTAACATTTTAATGCCTATCTTTCCAGTGCTTTCTCTTTTTCCCTACCCATGTGATAGATCAACTAGTATTTTTTTCTATCACAGATATAGTTCTACATTGTTTTAACATAATTAGGGTCCTACTATAAATAATGCTCTATAACCTGATATCTTCACGTAATATATTCCATGATGTTCTACAGCATGAGTTTTAATGGCTGCCTGGTATTTCATGACATATATTACCATAATTTATTTTTCTCAACCCTATTGGGAAGCAGATAGTTTTTTCTAGTTTTTCTGTGTTTTGTTGCTGTTGTTTAGGTAGTGAGCGTCCTTGTTGATGAACCGTTTTTTTCATTTTTAATACATCTATTAAGATAATTTTCTAGAAGAAGAAATTCTAGATGAAGAGGAATGTGTATTTCTAAGGCTTTCTACAACCTGGCATGACGTTTCCATTCAGTACAATGTGTGCACAACAAAAGCCCTCCCAGTTCTGTTCCCTCCAGGGGCTCAGGCCCTCCCGGTCCTCTCTGTCTCCAGCCTCTGGCGGCTGTGCTTCCTTCAAACGTCCATTTTCCCAGAACAATCCCCCTGGTCACCCTGCCGTGGTAGAAGACCAGTTCATAGGCCAAGATCTCTTGGGAGACCTTTTGGATTTTGTGTTCACATATATCCCATATCAATCCAGACACAAAATCAATCCAGTGCCATCACTGGGACCATCTCCTGATTTTCATAAAATTATGCACTAACACCAAAAATCTGTGAGTATAAGTAGACTTTCCTAAAGATTAGAGGACACAGGGAGAAGTTTTCTTGTGAAACACCTGATCCTTCCCCGTTTAACTGTCTCCCCCTCATTCTTACTCCTCTCTTCCACCCCTCAATAGCCCCATTTCCAGATTCTTTTGCTTTTATTACTCAGAGAAATTTAGCCCTACCCAGGCTTTACTCCCAAAACTGCATTCCAATTACCTATAAGGTTGCTCTGCAAAGTGAAAAGCTCCTCATTTATTGGAACTGCCCTTCTTAGATGGCAGTTGGGTTAAAATTAGCAATATTTTACTATTTGCTGTGTTACTGGTAGCCATTACCACAATTCTGTGTGATAGGCCTTATCCTCATTTTCACAGATAAGGAGACTGGCTCAGAAATGTTAAATAACTTGCCCAAGGTTAACACAGCCTAAAAATGTGCATGGAACTGATATTCAAACCTATGATTCCCCATCCCCTCCCTATCTCTTGACCTGACTTCCCTTAAGTTGGCTGAAGGGAGGGGCTTAGGAGAGGGTCCCAAGGACACCATCATTTCTTTTGTGCAGGTTACTGGGTCTTGGGGCTGCTCAGGGAGAATCCACCTTCCTGCTTTCTGGACTTTCAGGAGATTCCCGAGCCTCAGAGCACATCCTGCTGGCCACTTTACACACCCTGTTTCTCCGTGAGCACAACCGCTTGGCCAGAGAACTGAAGACACTCAACCCTCAGTGGGATGGAGAGAAGCTCTACCAGGAAGTCCGGAAGATCTTGGGAGCCTTCATGCAGGTAGGGAGGCCCACCTGGCTCTGGCTCCAGGCTCTGCCCTCTGCCCAACTGTGCAGCTCCAGGTACCTTCTCTGTTTCCACACCTCCGTCTGCCTCTTCTTCTCTGCTGCTTCTCTCCTGTTGTCTCATTCTTTTAAGCTCCCCTCCCCTTTCGTTTCTTCAGCTTCTCTGCCCCAAAATAAATTCCTAGATTTGGGGTGTTGGAATGTCATTCGTGTTGGTCCCTTCGGTGTGTCTGTCCCAGTGCCATCACTGGGACCATGGGCTCTGTCCCTCCTGGGACTACCACAAAGCAGTGATTTGGGTTATTTTGATTTGATTCTCTTCCTTTTGAATTCTCTGCACCTAAACTGCGTGGCATGGGCACACCTAACTGTTATGGTGGATTGACTGATTAACCCACTAGAAGAGACTAAGAACGGCTGATATGTTGATATCGACCACACACATATTTTTTAAACATTTTATTTTGAAATAATTATAGAATTTGCAAAAAAAAAAAAAATGTACAGGGAGGTCCTGTTCACCTCTCACCCAGCCTCCTCCAGTACTGTCTTACATAACCATGGCACAACTGCAAAACCAGGAAGTTAACATTGATGTGAAACAAAGAGTTTATGGAGATTTCGCCAGTTATCAATGCACTCATCTGTGGCTGTGCGTGTGTGTGTACGCACGCCTAGCTCTGTGCAGTTGTATCACATGTGTAGCTTCATGTACCCACCACCACAATAAAGATACATAACTGTGTCATCACCATAAGACTTCCCCAGGCTGTCTCTTCATACCATACTCACCCTTACCCTTATATCCGAAACCCATGGCAACCACTAATCTGTTCTCCATCTCTATAATTATGTGCTTATACAAATGTTATATAAATGGAATTACACAGTATGCATCATTTTGGGATGGACTTTTTTCATTAAACATGATATATTTGACATTCATCCAAGTTGTTGCACATATCAATCGTTTATTCTTCTTGTCACTGAATAGTATTCCATGGTGTGGATGAACCACAGTTTGTTTAACCATTCAATTATTTAAGGACATTGGGATAGTTTCCAGTTTGGGACTATTATGAACAAAGCTGCTAGAAATATCCATATATGTCTGCATGACGATACATTTTTATTTCTTCAGGATATATACTTAAGGGTGAGTTCTTTTTTAGAGTTTGGGGTCTTTTTTTTTAATTTTGTTTCTGTATTTGTTCTTGTTTTTGAGTCAGGGTCTCACTCTTTCACCCAGGCTGGAGTGCAGTGGCATGATGATGGCTCACTGCACCCTCAACCTCCTGGGCTCAGGCAGTCTTTCCATCTCAGACTCCTGTGTAGCAGGCATGAGCCACCACACCCAGATCATTTTTAAAATTTTTTTGTTGAGACAAGGTCTCACTATGTTGCCTACACTTGTCTTGAACTCCTGGGCTCAAGCAGTCCTCTTCCTCTGGCCTCCCAAATTGTTGGGATTATACTGGACCCTCGTTTTTAGTTTTAGAAGCAGCTGCCAAACCATGTTCTAAAGTTGTGCTTGTGGTGTCAAGTCTCAGAATTCTTTTCCTAGTTACCATGTTACATTTCCACCAGCAGTGTATGCATGATCCATTTCTCAGCATCCTCATGGTGGCATCACTATTCTTAATCTTTTCTGATACATGTGTAGTAATACCTCATTGTGGTTTGAACTTACATTTCTCTAATGGCTAGTGATGTGAAACATCTTTCTAGGTACTCATTTGCAATCTGTGTATCCTCTTCAATAAAATACCTGTTCAGCCTGTAATCCCAGACTTTGGGAGGCAGAGGTGGAAGAATTGCCTGAGTCCAGGGGTTCAAGACCAGCATGGGCAGCTTGGTGAAACCTCATCTCTACAATACATCGGAAAATTAGCCAGGTGTGGTGGTACATGCCTGTAGTTCCAGCTGCTCAGAAGTCTTTGTCAAAAGGATTGCTGAGTCCAGCAGGTCACAGCTGTAGTGGCTGAGATTGTGTGACTGCACTGTAGCCTAGGTGACAGAGACTCCAACTAAAAAAACAAATAATCAACAGCAAAAAGAAAACTCTGTTCATATAGCATGCCTATTTTCCAGCTGGACTATTTGTCTATTAATGTTGAGTTTCAAGAGTTATTTATGTATTATAGACACAAGTCCTTTGTCAGATATGTGATTTGCTGATATTTTCTCCCTGTTTATACTTTTTTTATTCTCTTAAAAGGAGGATGGAAACAGCAGAGCAAACGCTTTTAATTTTAATAAGGTCCTTTTTAACAATTTTCCTTTCACAGGTTATGCTTGTGGTGTTAAGTCTCAGGATTCTTTTCCTACTCCTGCACCCCAAAGACTTTCTCCTGTTTTTTCTTTTTAGAAGTTTTATGTTTTACATTTAAGTCCATGAGGCTTTTGGGTTAATTTTGTATAAAGTGTGAGGTGTAGGTCGAGATTTTTTTTTTCCTGTGGATATCTCATTGCTCCAGCACCACTTATTGAAAAGTCTGTTCCTTCTCCATTGAATTGCTTTTGTTCCCTTGTCAAAAATTATTTGGTCATATTTATATGGATCTATTTCTGGGTTGTCTAATTCTATTCCATTAACCTATATGTCTATTCCTCTAAGAAGATGGAAAAGACCAGGATCTGATGCTCAGCCTGTAATCCCAGCACTTTGGGAGGCCAAGGCAAGTGAATTGCCTGAGCCAGTGGGTTCAAGACTAGCCTGGACAACTTGGCGAGATCTCGTGTCTACAATAAATCAAAAAGTAGCCAGGCATGGTAGCATGTGCCTGTAGTTCCGGCTACTTGGAAGACTGAGGTGGAAGACTCTCCAGCATCCAGCAGGTCAACCCTGGGGGGCCATGAGTGTGCCACTGCACTCCAGTCTGGGCAACAGAGTGAGACTCCAACTTGGAAAAAAAAAAAAGATGATGAAAAAAATTGACACCACAGTATTCAATTACTGTATCTATATAGTAAGGTTTAGCACATCTTATTTTTCAAAATTGTCTTGGCTATTCTAGGGTCTTTCCCTTTACACACACACACACACACACACACACACACTGGAGGGTGGGGAGAGACAGAGAGAGAGAGAGAGAGAGAGAAGGTGGGTGTGTGTTGGGGTCTCACTCTGTCACCCAAGCTAGAGTGCAGTGGCATGATTGTGACTCACCCCAGCCTCGACCTCCTGGGCTCAGAAGATCCTTCTGCCTCATCCTCCTGAGAAGCTGGGACTACAGGCATGCACCACCATGCCCAGTTAATTTTTTTATTTTTTGTAGAGATGAAGTCTCAAGTTGGTCTCAAACTCCTGGGCTCAAGCAATCCTCTCACCTTGGCCTCCCAAAGTGCTGGGATTATAGAGGTGAACCATCACGGCTGGCCTCCATACATATTTTAATATAAGTTTGTGTATGTCTACAAAAAATCTTTCTGAAATTTTAATAGAAACCACATGAAAACTATAGATCAATTTAGGGAGATTGACATCTTTACAATGTTGAATTTTCCAACCTAGAAACACAGTATGCCTCTCCAATCTTTAAGTTTTTCTTTTATTTCTTTAATCAGTATTTTGTAATTTTTATCATATAACTACTGAACACATTTCGTTAGATTTATAGCTGAATACTTCATTTTCTTTGGAGGAATTGTAAATAGCATTACAGTTTTTCATTTCAATATAGATAAATAGATGATAGATATAGATATAGATAGATAGATGCAGATTTATGGCATATCACAATCTATTGGTGTTGGTGTTTTATCACTCCAGGTAAAGTGTAGAAAACTTACTTCCTTTAGGTTCCTTTACCTTCCCCACCTTTAAAATATAATTGTCTGAAGTATTTCCTCTACATACATTTTATATTACGTCAGATGGTGCTTCAACTGTATGATATGATTAAAGAAATTCACAAAATAAGAAAATAATTTATATTTACTTCTATTTTTACCAGTCACATTGTTCTTCTTTCTCTTCAAGGGTCCCAGTCTTCTTTAGTTGTCATTTTCTCTGTGTTTAGAGAGTGTTCTTTAGCTATTCTTTAAGGATAGGTCAGCTAGCAACAGGTTCTTAGTTTTTCTTTATCTGAGGATGTCTTTATTTCCCCTTTATTCTTGAAGAATCGTTTTACCAAATACTAGATTCAGGATTGGCAATTCTTTCCGTTCAGCATCTAGCCTCCAAGGTTTCAGATGAGACATTCACCATTATTTGAATTTGTTCCTTTAGAAGTAATGTGTCATTTCTCTTTGACTGTTTTTAAAACTTTTTCTTTATTCCTAATTTTCAGAAATTTAAGTATGATGTGTCTTGGAGTGAATATCTTTGTGTTTATCTTGTCTGGGATTCATTCAGCTTCTCGAATCTATCTTTCATCTATTTTAAGAAATTTTCAGGTATTATTTCTTGAAATACTTTTCCTGTTTCACTCCCTTTCTACAAGGGGGGGACCCCCAAAGCCAGGAATTTATTTATTTTAAAAATTGTATATTTACTCTCATATGTTTAAACTTCAGTCTCCTTCAAAGAACTCTTCCTTTGAGGTAATACAGCTATCAAGACGCTTTTTCCACTACTCAAAACAGTTTTTTAACTCATCAATTTTGATGCCTTTTAATGCTTCTGCTTTTGTTTCACCTTTTCCACATTGGCAAACGTTTCTTTCGGAGGACTTTTTTAATTCAGGAAAACAAAAAAAGTCTCTCGAGGTGAGATCAGGTGAATTTGGAGGTTAGGGCACTGGGATCATGTAGTTTTTGGTCACAAATTGCTGAGCACTCAGCACAGTGTAGGCAGGTGCATTGTCATAGTGGAAGAACCGGTCACTTGTTTCCCACAACTCAGGATGTTTCTTCCACAAATAGTGATGCAACCTTCTCAAAACTACCAGATAAAAACTTGGGTTGACTATTTGATCCTGAGGAACAAATTCCAAGTGTACTACAAGGGGCCCATACTCAAAAAAGATAATTTCTGGGGTTTTTTTGGGTCCCCTCTTGTACTTCTGGGACTCCACTGATATGAATGTTAGGTCTTTTGTTATTGTCTTACAGAACTCTGAGGCTCTGGTTTGTTAGAGGTGTTTTGTTTGTTTTTTTAAAGTCTATTTTATTTCTGTTGATCAGATAGAGTAAATTATATTGATCAGGCCTCAATTTTCTTCTCTGTCATCTCCACTTTACTATTGGGTCTATTCAAGTTTTTTAAAAATTTAGTTTTTTGTGTTTTTTTTCAGAAGAAATCTTCTACTTCTTTGCTGTGATTTTTTTGTTTATTTCAAGAGAATGTAATTGAACATTGAAGCATTTTTATAATGGCTACTTTAAAATCCTTAACAGATAATCCTAACATCACATCTGATTCGTGTCAATCTTGACATCAGATGATTGTCTTTTCTCACTCAAAATGTGACTTTTTTGGTTCTTGGTACTATGAGAGATTTTCGACTGTGTCCTAGACATTTTGGTTATTTTACTAGGAGAGTCTTAATCCGATTTAAATCCTCTGTCTTAGCACATAGTTGCCTTGTTGAGGTTTAGCATGAGGTTCTGGACTATTTTTGTGATCTTTAGTTTCCTGAGCCCTGTAGCTCCTGGTCTGCTGCATTCTTCTGGTGCTTCTGGGCTTCCCACTCAATCCCTGTTGGGACCAGCTGTGAGGCAGGAAGGTGCTTTCGGGCTGCCTGCTGTTGCTGAGCAAGCTTCGAGGGAAGCAGAAGCCACTGCACCTAATCTCCTTATGCTGCTGGGTGAAGAGCAAGGAGACACAGGGTTTCACTGTGAAAACCAGGTAGAAATGTGGAAAATGTTCAGTGAAAAGGCAGAATGTAAAGGTATATGTTCTCTAGGATTCTATAGACAAAGACTGGAAAGAATTTTTAAAATTAATATAATTATTGTGTTATGTGGAGGCATGATTTTTCCTTTCTGAAAATTTTTCCTATTTGTATTAATTCACTATTTGTTTGTTTGTTTTGCATAAAACAAAACCAAAAACCAATCTTTTCATGGTGTGGCATTTCTTTCAGAACTGGAGAAGGCTTCCCTTATTTGCCCCTGAATCATCCTTGTGATTTATCATTCTTCTTGCCCTGACATTGTTACATTAAAGTGGCACATAGGACTGCCGTGTTAGCATGAAGTTCATAAATTTAGAGCAAAGATGAAACAGAGAATACATCTAATGTGCCAAATTCAAATGACTCATTAGTAGAACCTGTGTTGAGACAGATCATGAGAGATCAGCAGAAAGAATTCTGTGATTGATCAATAATGTCTGCCATGGTCATAGGAATGGGAACTGGATACATAGGCTAATTATTTGCCATCCTTGATTTTCACCTGCGCATCCTTCTTGCTGTAGCTCTTTTCTAGCCTCCTTTTGTAGAGGGTTAAACCTGCTTACATATTTTCCACGTGAACTGTTTTTCCCTCCAGATTATCACCTTTAGGGACTACCTACCTATTGTGCTAGGTGACCAGATGCAGAAGCAGATCCCCCCATATCAAGGCTACAATGAATCTGTGGATCCCCGAATCTCCAATGTCTTCACCTTTGCCTTTCGCTTTGGCCACTTGGAGGTCCCCTCTACAGTGTCACGCCTGGATGATAATTATCAGCCATGGGGTCCAGAGTCAGAACTCCCCCTGCACACCCTCTTCTTCAACACCTGGAGGATGGTCAAAGACGGTATGTCCTTGCAGGGAAGTGCTGTCACCTGGCTCTCCCACTCTGCAGACTGTCATAGGAAAGACTTGGAAGTCAGACTCCAAGCACTTTTGTGTGTCCTTGGGCAAGTGAATTAGCCTCACTGAGCCTCTGTTTCCTCATTTGTAAAATGGAGGACGATAATAGTACCCAGCTCATGAGGCTATCCAAAAAATTAAGTGAGATACACTATATAATAGAACACTCTAAATGGTTCCTGACACACAAGAGGTGATCAATAAGTATTTGTTATTATTATTTCTTTCCTCTTTCTGGCTTCTAAGGCACCTGGGATGTCTCTAACTCCTTCTCTGTCCTAGGCCTCTCTGATCTCTGTAGAAAGAATTCATGGCTTTGGTAAATAAATTGCCCTTTTCTGCAATCCTCTAGAGCCTTCCACCTCTAGGAGGTGCCAGAAGTTGGATCCAGCTTTCCTTCATCCCTGGGCTGTGCTGTGCTGAAATTGGCTTTACTTAGGGTCTAACAAAGCAGGCCCATTTCCTAAAGATTTATGCATCCTCTTCCCAATTCTGCAATGTTCCTCAGCAGAATATACAGAGGAGAAGGAGCTGACTCTAAGAAATAGAGCTTGAAAAATATCTTGATGTTTATTTTCTTGCCATCATTCCATATTCATCCCATATTCATGCTCCCTTCTGCCACCCCTAAAGCAAGCAGTGTGGACTCCCCTCTCCCTTTGAGGACACCCCGCACGCTGCATTCTGCTCTTCTCTCCTTATTTCCAGCCTGAGATGTTCAGTTGTCCCTACTTGCAATGGAGATAAAATGTCAGGTGGAAGCAGGGGCCAGTCATGGAAGATATTCCCACCCTACCCCCATGCTAAGAATGATCTCTGGGTTTCCCTTGGCAGGTGGAATTGATCCTCTGGTGCGAGGCCTGCTGGCCAAGAAGTCCAAGTTGATGAAACAGGATAAAATGATGACAGGAGAACTGCGCAACAAGCTTTTTCAGCCAATGCACAGAATCCATGGCTTTGACCTGGCTGCTATCAACATACAGCGTGGCCGGGACCATGGGCAGCCTGGTGAGTGGGCCTGGGGTCTGGCCTGGACTGGGGCACTTACAGCCACTTTCTAGGGCTCCTGGAGATGCTCCTCTATAACCCTGAGGATGTGATCCTCAGGCCAGTTTTTAAAACACACTTTGTTCATCTATGAAGTGGAATCTTCCATTTTCCCTAATGCAAAGACAAAAGCACATATCTGGTATATCTTGGGGCTCCTCAAATGAAAGAGATCAATAACTTGTAAAAAAAAAAAAAAAAAAAAAAAAAACAGTTTAAAAGTCCAGAAAAGAAGAAAGAAAAACCAATGACTGTTGGGCCTTTCTTTTTGTACCCATGAAAGGCAATTTAATTAAGAGATAGACTGCTGAATGCAAATCCCAGCTATGCCATTCACTAGCTACAGGACTTTGGGAAAGTTACTTAACATTTATGTTCTTCAGTTTACATATTTGTATGGTGCTAAGAATAATGCCTAGACTCAGAGTAAATATTCTGTTACCTACTAGCCTCCTCAAGACTGAAGTGTCACATGTATCAAACGAGGGATCACTGCCTCCCTTGGCCCAAAGGCTGTGAGCCCAGACTTTCTAGGGCTGATAGAGCTGGAGTGGGTATGTCCCCAACGGGATCTGTGGGAGGAATGTCCCCAGAATGATTCAACCTCAGTCGTTCCAACCTAGGGTACAACTCCTGGAGAAGCTTTTGCGACCTCTCACAGCCAAAGACCCTGGAGGAGTTGAAGGCTGTGCTGAAGAATGAGAGGCTGGCCAAGGAGTTGCTGAGTCTCTATGGGACTCCTGACAACATTGACATCTGGGTAGGGGCCACTGCTGAGCCCCTGGTAGAAAGGGGCCGGGTGGGGCCTCTCCTGGCCTGCCTCCTGGGCAAGCAGTTCCAGAAGATCCGCGATGGAGACAGGCAAGTGAACCCTCAGCCTGGAGGGCCTTTCTCCAAGACGGGAGTGAATTCCAGACCTCAGCATGGGTGAGGGTTTTCCATGGTCCCAGTGCCCTCCTCTCTTCCCCTGTGGCAGAGTGGGGAGGGACCCGCAATGGGACCAGTGGGGTGACCCTGTGTCTGTCTTTGCAGGTTCTGGTGGGAAAACCCTGGGGTCTTCACGAAGAAACAGCAAGACTCTCTAAGGAAAATATCCTTCTCACGCATTGTCTGTGACAACACCCACATCACTAAGGTCCCACAGAATCCATTCCAGGCCAACAGCTACCCCCATGGCTTTGTGGATTGCTCAGCTATTGACAAGCTGGACCTGTTGCCCTGGGCCTCAGTGGAGAATTAAGGGTCTGGGCTCCAAGGCCTCCCATGCTGAGCAGAAGAGCTCCCTTTGGTGGACAACACCATTTCAAGCAAGTCCAATGACCCGGTCCTTTAGAACTTCACACCCCAGTCCTAGCTCTTCCTTCCCTCCAAAAGCTTCTCTATACCCTCCAGACAAACAGCTGGCTCAGGCCCAAGCACAGCTATCTCAGCCTTCCCAGCTCTGATACTCAGTTCCTGTCACTCCCACCCCATTCTCGGCCTTTGGAATCCTCTTTCTGTTGAGACTTACACCCTCTGAGATGCTCTTCCAGTCTAGCTTGCTGGACATCACCTGTCCTCTTACCTAAGCAAGGTTTGGCTGAGGCTGTGACCTTTGGCCTTTATCTTTCCTCCTGTCCTCACAGACTAGATTGTAAGCTCCCTGAGCCAGGACCTGATGCTCAGCATGACCACACCTAATGACGGACTACAGATGCTAGCAGTGACAGTGCTCCTTCCAAAGGCGAGCCTTAGAATCGCTGCCCGATAAGTGACTAGACATGTATAGGCCATCCGTCTGTGTCTTATGGCTAAGGTGTCACGTGCATGGGTCTTGGGGTGTGGTAGGACTTCCAGGAACTCTCAAAGAACAAGGAGGCACAAGGGGCTTCTGAGAAAAGGAAGCACTGGCCAGGGAGCAGCAAGAGATGAGGCTTACACCTATCCTAATACTACAAAAAAGGGATTGGCAGTAGTGGGACACTGCCAGGGGATGGGGGAGGCACATAACAACAGTAAGGGTGCCTGATTCTAATCTAGACAAAGTGAGGTCCAGTGGGAGGCCCAAAATGTCACCTACCTATGTACACAATCCTGACTTGTACCCCACAACTTTAAAATAAAGTTTTTAAAAAAAGAGATGGGACTTGGGGTGGGAGTACAGGTGGTGGTGCCAGGGATAAAACAGGAAAGGAAACCAAGCCTAAACTCCCAAGTCTAATTTCCCTTCCAGTGCCCCTTCTGGGACTACCCTTTTCCTCTAGGGTGGTCCCTGGAGCCTGTGATGCCTCTGGGAGGACAATTCCAGAATATTCCCTGAGATGCTGCCCAACCTATATTCATATATTCTTCTTTTAAAATGACCCTCTAGGTGAAGTCAGCCCAGCTGGGGCCTCCAGATCCCCCAACCGATAGGGTGAGAGTGGGAGACAGTCATCAGGAGCCAGATGACCTGGGCTTAGCACTGTCCCCTACTTCTTCGAAGATGATGAGTCCCTTCACTGCTCTGAGCAGCCCTCTCCTCATCAGTGAAATGGGGACAAGTAGAATTTACCCTGCTGCTCAACACAGTGTGGCCCTAGCATTACCTGGGGGCCCCGTGAGTACATTCAACCTCATCATCCTGCACACCTGGCTCCTAGCTGCAGGTGCCCCCTCCCCATATGTGAGGAGAAGGGAGGAGAGGGGAAGAAGTCCACCACTCAGATACAGGGGTAAGCTCCAGGCAAGACTGCTAGGGAAATGCACTCCTCCTCCCTCAGTGCTGGCCCTATCTTCTGGGCCCAGCCACCTGCTTTTCCTGCTCTGGGGCCTGGCCCCGTGGAGCCAGGAGTGAAAAGGAGTTTACTATCCTGAGGGAGCACCCTTGTGCCAAGATGCGAGGATGCAGGGTGCCAGGGCCATTCTCACGTGGGGAAGGCCTGCAGACCTCTGCTCCCTCTCTTCCGCTGCACAGCGCTTTGTCCCTCTACTTCCCAGCACCTAGCACAGGTCTCACACAGAGGGGACATGTAGCAAATGTCTGCCAGAGCAGTGAATGGGCTGAGGGCTCTGTGACCACAGTCCCCTGTAGGATGGCAGGGGTGGAAGGTAAAGAGAGTCTGCTCAGCGTGGCCTGGCCCCTATGCTTCCAAGAACTGGCTGCTCTCCATGTATGCATTGACCAAAGGAGGGCTCCCCAGTGCCCTTGCCCCCAGTTCAGAAACACAGGGCTCAGGCACAGACCACACTGGTTCAAGTTCAAAGCTCAGAGCGAGCCTCCAGCAGTGCTTTATTATCACAAACATCAGGGACAAACAAACAGCACAGAAGGGCCAATGGGCCCATTCCTCCTCCGGAGGACTCCTGTGAGTAAGCAAGAAAACAGAGTAAGGAGAAAGATGGATTGAGTCTGGCTGGCCTGTGCCCAGAGCTCAACCACATGGTCCAACTGTGGGTCACTCAGTCCTCCAGGGGCCACTGGTTCACCTCTGCCAAGCAGGACACAGTCCATGTGAAAGACCCTCGAGGCACAAGTGGGATCTTGATATCTGTCTTTCTTGCCTCTGATGTTTCCCATACTGAGCACAGTGCCTCACATGTAGCAGGTGTTCAATAAACGAAGAACTAGAGGATGCCAATGAGCCCTCTAAGGAGCCACAACAGCTGTAATTTACATGGAAGAAAACTCACGCTTAGCAAGATTGAGAAATTTGCCCAAGGTCACACAGCTAGCAAGCCGCAGAGCCAGGCCTTGAACCCAGGCAGTCTGGCTCCTGAGCTGCGCTCCTCACTAATCTGTTCTGCTGCCTTCCACATACTTGATCTTCTCACAAACAGCAAACACACATTCACACAAGTGATACACACACAGCACACAAAACACTCTCCATGTGCCCCCAGACGACACATATGAAATGCCAACTTATATACATTGCACACGTGTGCACACGAGTGAATGTCTGCTCACTTGTTTTCTCAGCTGGCACCCACAGTGGGAAAGGAGAGCTCTGAGGTTCCAACTGGTCAGCCCAGGTACACCCTTCACTCCTGCGCCCCCTTACCCAGCCTCTAGGCCTTGTCCTTCCAGGAAGCCAGGTCCAATGCAGGGATTATGCTGCAGTTGACAAAGTCCTTGGGATACATGTTGCGCTTGAAGATGTTCTTGGGCACAGTGGTGATACCTGTGTTGTCGCAGATGATGTGGGACAAGGAGATCTTGGCCAGGGCCTGCTGCTGCTGCTTGCTGAACACATCTCCATTCTGCCACCAAAATCTGCATGGGGAATACCACAGACACTGTGCCTAAGGATGTTCTGGGCTGGCAGGGAATCAGTTGGCTTGTGCAGCTTCCTGGATACGAGAGGACCACCGCAGACACTGCCCAGCAGCACAGGAGAACCCAGGCCCTCAGGCAGCCCAGGGCCTTTCAGACTGGTGGACTCCACTCACAGCACAGAGTCAAGCGCAGGTGCCCAACTGTGCTTCCCTTACCTCCAGCTCAGCAGCTTCCAGGGCATTGATTCTGGAGGGGGAGCCAGGTCCCCACATACTCAGGAGCCCCAGGCCCTGGCCCAGGGCTGCACCCACAGGAGTGGGAAAGAATCTTGGGAATAGTTTTTTATTTGTCCACACAGAGAGAAGCACCTTTTTTTTTGAGTCAAAGTCTCACTCTGTTGCCCAGCCTGTAGTGCAGTGGCAGGATCACAGTAATCAGAGCCTCAACCTGCTGGGCTCAGGTGATCCTTCCACCTCAGCCTTCTAAGAAGCTGGAACTGCAGGCAGCATGTGCCACCACACCTGGCTACTTTTTTTTATTTATTGTAGAGACGCGGTCTTACCAAGTTGCCCGGGCTGGTCTAAAACCCCTGTGTTCAGGCAATCCTCTCGCCTTGGCCTCCCAAAGTGCAGGGATTACAGGAATGAGCCACTGCACCCAGCAGAAGCACTTTTTTCTAATTTTCCCAAAGGGGCAATATAGGCTGGTTAAGAACTAGACATGAAGATGGTAGGACCATGATGAAATGACAGGGAAGCTGTGGGAAAGCTAGCAAGGGATTGTTTAGGAGTGACAAACCCAGTGAAACCCAGAGGAGGAAGTAGGTGAGCATGGCATTTTTCTGTCTGCTTTCCCTTCACGACCAGGCGTTCAGGCCCCTCCTTGCTGCACCCCTCAACAGGCTCAGGACACGTTAGAAGTGACCTGGCTCTCTGGAACACACTGGAAAATCACTGACTCCTTCCAGTCCTTCACCTTATGGGAGGAAATTGGAGCCCCAAAGGGCTAGGCCACAGCCACCCAGTGGGCCTGCACCACCTGCCCCTTTCTTACCGATCACCATCCCGGAGCTTCCTGAACTGAGTGCCAATGAGACAGGCGAGGAGTTGGCCCACGCGGCCATTGCGCTCCAGGGGCTCAGCCACGCCACCCATCCAGATGTCGATGTTGTTGGGCGTGCCGTACTGTGCCATCAGCTTCCTTGCCAAGTCCAGGTTCTTCATTACTGTGCCCAGCTCACCCACCGTGTTGGGCTGCGGGAGTCCACAGAAGCGCCTCCAGGCATTGTACCCTGCAGGAGGGAGGGGAGCAGGTGGCTGTGGGTAGGTCCCTTTCAAGATGAGGAGATCAGTGGGGACAGCGGGGAAGATTCATGTATATGCCATTGACTCAGAAAAACCACCTTCTTAGCATACCATGGTCATAGACAGAGGGTGGGGGGGACCCTGAACCCTTGGCTCAGACCAAGGGGGACAACTGTCTCTCTAGGACCCTCTCTGTCTTTTCTTTACCCCATAAGGCAAACCCTAAATTGCTGTAGTTCTTGCCAGGTCCAAGAACAGGGACAGCTCATTGTCGCCCTCTGGACAATGTGTCTGTCTCTGACCCACAAGAGGAGCCTCAGTCACACCAACTATCCTGTAACACAGGCACCAGGTTTTAGGGTGAAGCTGATCAGGGTTCAGATTCCAGCTTTGCCACTGACTTGGCTAGAGAGCCTGGCCAGGTTCTGAATCTCGCCGAACCTCAGTTTCCTCATCAGTAAAATGGAGGCAACAATAATCTTTACCCTCAGAATTCATCTATAATGAAATGATGATGGGGACAGATTTCCAGACTGTGGGTTAATGTTATTATTATGATATTCCTAGTGTGAGTGTCATAGCTTGCAAAAGAGGGTGAGAGGAACTGGAAATTGACCAGATGGGTCCAGGGAAAGGCAGGGGCTTGACCTCAGGCTGCTTCCTGAGAGCAAAGTGTTGGGGTGGGGGAAAAGCTTTGAGCAGCTGAGGACACAGAGGGGCCTTAGAGTGGGAAGGGGAGCCACGGGCTACCGGAGAGGCAGTCTAGGGAAGGCTGGTGGCACGGGAGACCCCTGCAGCACCTAACCTGGGAGGCCGTGGTCCCTGCTGCGCTGCATGTTCAGAGCAGGCAGGTCCAGCCCGATCCTCATGACCTGCTCAAATAATCGCTCCCGAATCTCGTCCACCACGATTTGGTTCTGGCGATTCAGCTTGGCGGGGGTGGCCATGAGGCCCCGGAGGATGGGGTCAATGCCACCTGGGGGCAAGAGGAGCAGGGTCAGGGGAAGAATCTGGTTCAGTAACAGAGCTCAGATGGGTGTTAGAGATGCGTCCAGGTGGGGTCAGAGGGACTGGGGAAGAGGGCTGGACACACACAGTGCCTGGTGCCCAGATGGCCCCAGTGAGCAGATCCTCACCAGGCATGATCCCAAGGGCATGTTGGTCTCAGGGGATTCTGCCATTCAGACTTGAATGGCAGAAGGTTTTGGTGCTCCCAGCCCCTGGCCTCCTGGGCCATAGGGAGTTACAACACCTACAAAGGAGCCAGCTCCCTCAGAGCCATCCCACCCCCACTCCTTACTGTCAGACATGGAAGCAGAATCAGGTGAACTGAGCCTGGAGAGTCAGACCAGATCCCCAAAGATAGGAAGAAAGCGAATTTCTCCCCATCCAACTCCCTGCAGCCAAGGCTATTCCCACCCCACCTGAAGCTGCCGGCCCACTCTCTCCTGACCTAGGTCCCCCTCACCTTCCAGCACGACCCTCCAGGAGGCAAAGAAGACCTTGCTAAGTGGAACACGGGGGTTCGGCATCATGGGCTGGTATTGACTGTCCAGACGGAACATGAAGGGTTGGATGAGGGTGTGGCCATAGCGGAAGGCATTGGTGAAGACGTTGGCAATGCGCGGGTCCACTGAATCATTGTAGCCACGGTACATGGGCAGGTATTTCCTCATGGCTTCTGGCCCCAGCACCAGGGGCAGGTAGTCCCGGTAAGTGATAATCTAAAGAGAGGTCACTTGGAATGGCCTCTCCACTCCTCCCTGCAGAGTTTCCACCTGCTCTTGGCATAGGGGATCCCTCCCATTCATCTATGATCACTGAATTGCTTCCCTCAATACTGGATCTAAGCCTAACACAGTGGCATAAACAGAACTCTACTGCCTGCTGGTTCTGTGACCTTGCATTGGTTATTAATCTCTCAGCCTGAGTTCCTCAAATGCAAATTAAGGATATTATATTGACCTCTGCTGTAGAGGACCAAATAACAAAGCACTTTATTAGTCATTGTGATACCTTCCTTGCCTTTGAGTTATAAATGTCTCATTTCTCCTATTATCTTACAAGCTCCTTGAAAGCAAGGGAAGTTGAAATTATTCACAGTGCTCACCAAGTGCCTGGCCCACAGTAGGTCTCAATATTGGTTTGTGAAGGAAGAGAGGCAGGGAGGAATAAAGGGTTGCTCTGGCACAATTTCCCCAGTGAAAGTGAAAGATGTGGAACAATCTCACTCTAGATTCCGGATTCTAGATTGTTCTCCAAAGCTTAAATGAATGTCACTTGAGTTCTTAGTGCAAATCAAAAACTCACCCTTAGCACCTGCAACTGCTTCCCCCTCTAGAGTCTAGGAGAGAGAAAGAGAGGGAGAAAGAGAGAGAGAGAGAGAGAGAGAGAGAGAGAGAGAGAGAGAGAGAGAGAGGGAGAGAGAGTTTGCATCCTGGGGAGAGAATGGGTACACTGAAGCATTAGAAATTGGGAGAGAGAACCAGGAACACTGCCCCAGGGATAAATGGGCCAAGGAATTTGGACAGGTTATGACAGAACCAAAAAGAAGAGGTGATTGAGTCAAGGCCCAAGAGTGACAGTAAGAAGGGGAAAAGAAGAAGCGTTTACTGAACAGCTCCTATGCACCAGGCACTATACCAACAAACCAACCTTCCCAACACCATTCCCTGACCCACAGGAAGGAAGACAGCTGGGAACAAGCCTGGAAAGAAGGGAAGGGAAGAGAAGAAACCTTTGTCAAGCACTTAATATCTACCACGTGTTTTCATACATGTTCTTTAATCCCTAGGGCTCATGGAGGAAGAAGCCAAGGCTCAGGAGGGTTAGTAACTCATCTAAGGTAACACAGCTAGGATGCTTCAGAGGCACATCTAGATCGCAAGTCTGCCTGACACTCAGGGACACCTACCTGGACCATGGCCCCCACGATCTTCCGCGCTTCCTGGTAGAGCCTCTCTCCATTCCAGCTGGGATTCAGGTGTTTAAGCTGTGTGGCCAGTCGGTTGTGCTCCCGCAATAAAAGGGTGTGCATGGAGGTGAGCTCAGGCATCTCACTGGACCGGGTATCCCCTTAGGGAAGCAAAAGGTACTGTCATTCCTAAGACCTCCATCCCAGCAAATATCTGCTCCACTGAAACTCCTTCCCCGGCTTGAAATGCCTCCTACTCAGCCCTCCTCTCCTCCTATCTTTTCACACTATGCTTAATTTTCACTCCTCAAGGAGGCCTGCCCTGATGCTCCAGTTTGCCATAATAGCTTCTTCATCAGCTCAAAGATGCTACTGGGCAGAGCATCTTTCAATAGGCATCAGACCCGACAGATGACTTGCCTGAAACTGGGAGCTCCTTGACAACAAGGACCATAGCTTGTGCCTTTTAATAGTTTACCCTCCCTCCCTTCAACACACATATAGACACATGGGGCCTAACACAGTGCCTGGTACAAAGTATGAGATGATAAACATTGCCTGATTAAGGTCAAGAAAGAGCATGCCTATTGGCACAACCTATGTCCATACCCATGTCAGATGCAGCTAATTATCACAGTACTCTTTTCTGTGCAAATTGGATGCAACCTCAGAATCCTTCTCAACACAGGACTCCAGAAATCCATCACCATTTGAACAGTGTTGTCAGCCCTACCCTTCCTTACCACATGCCAATGGTTCAGCCTGCTCCAGGGGAAGGGGTTAGGGCACAGGATGTATGGAATCCATACCTGAGACTCTACCCAAAAACAATTAAGCAGGCCAGGCACGGTGGCTCACACCTGTAATTCCAGCACTTTGGGAGGTAGAGGTGAGAGGATTGCCTGAGCTCAGGGGTTCGAGACCAGCCCTGGCAATTTGGCGAGACCTCGTCTCTACAATAAATCAAAAACTTAGCCAGATATGGTGACACGTGCCTGTAGTTCCAGCTACTTGGAAGGCTAAGGCAGAAGGATTGCCTGAGCCCAGTGGGTCGAGGCTGCAGCAGCCATGAATGTGCCACTGCACTCCAGCCTGGGTGACAGAGTGAGAGAGACTCTGACTCAGGAAAAAAAAAAAAAAAAAATATATATATATATATATATATATATGAAATAAAATGACAAAAATAGCCACATTTGTCTAGTGGCTACCATATTGGACAGTGTAGTTCTAGAGGGTGAGGGCGCCATGATGCTCTCTGTCCCTTTAATTCCCTGTTGCTGAGGGACTCAACTCTCCTCTCTTCCAGAGTCCAGAAGAAGAGAAAGCAAGGGACAGATAGACAGAGGCGCCATGGTCACCCTGCGTCTCCATCTTAGATTTGGGGGCTGGGTGTTTGAGTTTTCTTTTCTTTTTTTTTTGTCTTTCTGGCTTCATCCAACTTGTTACCAAGGCAACTAGATTAATATCATGAAGTTGGCGAGGGCAGTTTCTCTAAATACAAACCCACAAACAGACTCACTGTGGCTCCAGCAGGAAACACCTCCCATGCCACCCCAGGTCCCCACCCCAGAGCGGACCTGCCAGGAAGCAGGGGATGCGCGCTGAGCGGTTGGTGAGCAGGCAGGGGTCATCGTGCAGGTTGTCAAAGGGCAGCAGGTCCCGGCCATTGTCGCGGAAGCGGGTGTTGACTCTCAGCAGCCCCAGCTGGTTGGTCAGGTTGCGCAGCTTCATGCCCAGGGGGTCCTCGCTGCCGTACACCATGCTGGCATCCACAAAAGAGGTGAGCGCATTGATCTGGTTGCGGATGGTGATGTTGCTCCCAGTGCAGGCTGGGCAGGAGCGGAAGAAGGGGATGCAGTCTTGTTGGTTCTTGATGCGGGGGTCATTGGGCGGGATCTGCGGCACAGACAAAGGCTAGGCCGGCTCACTGGCGGCAGAGACAGTGGTAGAAGTGGCTCTCCTCCTGCCCTCAGGACCTCTGGCACACTCAACTGGCAGAGGCCCAGCGGGGTCACTCCCTGGGGTTCCATAGCAGGGCGCCTCAGGTTGAAGATCAGTGTTGATGACCAGAACACTAACTGGGAATGTGGGGAGTACCTTGGGGGTGGGCACCACCTGGCCTCTGACCTCTCCTCACTAAACTTCCTCCTGTCCTGTCTCTCCTCTCCTCCGTGTCTGATTCTCCCTCCCCTCTTCTCTGGATTTGGACTTTCTGCTCTCACTCTGCCTCCTCTTCACCTTGCTTTCCTTTCCCTTTCTTGGTCTCTGTCTCTCTCCTTTGTCCCTTTCCTGTCTCTCTGTCTCTCTCTCTGTGTGTCTCTCTCTGTCTCTCTCTCTGTCTCTCTCTCTCTCTCTCTCTCTCTCTCTCTCTCTCTCTCTCTCTCTCTCTCAGGTGCTCTCTTTTCTCTCCTCCTCCCTCCCTATTCGGTGTGTTTCTCAACCAGTCAGCCCACCCTCAGCCCTTCTTCCACCCCATAGCCCAGACCCTTAGGCTTTCTCTTCTGCATAATGTGGGTGTGGGGGAGACCCCTTCAGTGTGAAGGAAACAGGACTGAGCATGGGGTACCTATTCACAGAGGACTGAGAGACACTGAAAAAGTTCTCATCCCAGAGCTCCTCCCCCAGTCTAACAAAGAGCCAGTAATTCCACCAACCGGAATCCTACCAGCCAGGGGATAAACAACACTCTCCTTCCTGGATGGGGCAGTGAGCAAATAGGATAGCCTGACCGGCAGCTGCCCGAGGCGACCCGGCAGAAGGAGACAGGTCAGTACTGGGCAGGAGACAGGTCAGTACTGGGCAGGCAGTGCCTGTGGTCGCAAGGAGGCAGAGCCAGCCTTCCTGGAGGCTGGGGAAGGAAGCCTGGGCAGAGAAGGGAGGTGGCCCCTTCCAGGAAAATCTCCCCCTCCCCACCCACAGGCAGGACGCAGGAAGCACCTTGAGCGGGAAGCAGGGTGGCTGCTGCACGCAGCTCGTCTCACAGTTGACGCCAGTGACGAAGGAGACGCGGGCACCCGGCTCAGGGGTGAAGTCAAGGTCGTGGTCGATCAGCTGGCCCCACTGCATGAAGAGGAGCGAGCGCTCCTGATCCGGGGTCAGCTGCTCCGTGGGGAAGCGCACGATGGCGTTGGAGACCGCGCGAGCCTGCGGGACGAGGGCCGTCAGGGGGCGCCCCGGGCCGCGCACCCTTTGGGGCTCGCCTCACCCCCTGCCTGCCGGGGCTCACCAGGGGCACCGGGAAGCCGGCGCGCTTGACCCCGGGCGTCCAGCCGAAGGGCAGCGAGAAGCCGTCCTCGTACTCTGCCGGCAGCCAGCGCGCAAAGGGGCGGTTGGAGGCCCCCAGCGTGGGGCTGCGTCTGCAGGGGAGGGCCGGGGCGCTGGCCCGAGGTGGCCCCGGGGGCAGGCCCCGGGACGCCTCCCTGCGACCGCGTCCTGGGGCGGCCCCCGCCTGCCGCACCTGTTGTTGCACTGCCCGGTGATGGTGCGATACTTGTCCTGCTCCGGGCACCTCACCCTCACGTCCTGGTAAGCGCAGCCGCTTGACTTGGACAGCAGATTCAGCTGGGCAGGCGTTAGCACATCTACCAGGAGGAAAGAGTGATGGGGAGCTGAGCCCTCTGGAGACCCTTGAGGGGCCCAGTCTGAGAAGTGGCGGGGATGCTGGGATGTTCCTGAGACTCCTTGCAGGGAGAAGTTGGGGGAGTCCGTGGGAGATGGCTGGGTTCTCCAGAAGGGGTCACTAGTGGAACAGGAGCCTGGGGTGGAATGGACAATAGTACCCGTGACATTGAAGGGCCTCCGCCACAGGGACCGCAGCTTCCCCTCCAGCAGGCCTAGAGCCACATGCAGGTAGTCAGCTGCCCTCACAGCCGTCCTGGTGGCTGCCACCGGCTGCTTGAAGTAGGACAGGAGCTCCATGGGGCTGGCTGAGCCACTGCGAAGACGCTGCTTGATGCTGCTTGGAGAGGGGAGGAGTGAGGGCCAGAGAAGGGTTCCAGAGCTCCAGGGGCAGACACACAGACAAGATTTCTTTTTATGAAAAGGATACGGACCTAGATGTCCAGACAGAGGCAAGGCCATGGGAGGAATGGCTTTAAAGATGTTCTCACATCCAGAGACACAAGGACAGACAGACAGAGGGTCTCCCACGGGCCCCCAAAGGTCCTCACCCCCACCTCAAACTCCCTGTTGCCTGCTCCTTCTCCGAAAGGTCTGGGGCAGTTTTGCCCAGAGCTGGGCAGTGACCGGAACCCCCACCTTTCCCGCCGCTCCTTGTAGGCCTTGTCCACGAGCCGCTTGGCCTCCTCCATGCAGGTCAGTACCACTGAGGTCTCCACCTCCCCCAAGACACCTGCCCAGAGCAGGGGTCACAAAGTCAGAAACGGGCCCAAAGCCCTACCTCAGGCCCCTGAGCCAGGCAGGCCTGACTGAGAAAAGGAATGCCTGGGACTCAGAACCACTACATCCCACCTTCTCTCTCCTTGCGAACTGTTACCTGGAGCAGCACCCTCAGAGGTCTGGGTCATGGCCAGAACAACCAGGAGCCCTGCTAGGGCCAGGAGCAGCTTCATCTCTGCAATAAGACCCCCCCCGCAACAACCCAGTAAGTGTCCTGAGTCTAAAGTGCATCTGGCAGAAGAGAGCTCCATCATCCCTCTCCTCCTGGGCCCCTCCCTCCCACCTCCACATCCCAGCCCCACTTCCATGGGCCCTGTCTATGGATGAATTCAGGCCTCCTTGAGGGAGGGGCCCACAGCGCCTCCACCCCCTTGCCAGCTGCCATCACCCAGCCTCTAAGGATCCTACCTCCACAGTTCACTTGGCATTGGTAACCCCCTTGACTGAATCTGGGCTTTTATGCCCTCTAAGCTGGAGGCGGGGCAGGGCACAGGAAGGTCTGTCCCTGGAGACTGAACTCTGGCCCCTCCCCTAATGGGGTTGAGGATGCATTCAGAGGGGTCCCTGAAATGGGGACAAGGGACAGGAAAGGAGGCAGCAGAACTGTCCCCAGCCTTTGAACTTAGCACTCCCACCCCAGGGTTTCTCAGCTTCCCATTGTACACACAGCTACCCTCAGAATTTCTGGGTAGGCTGAATATCCACAGCTCCTTTGAAAGGAAAAAAAGTAAGTAACTAGTAGCCTAAGGAACTATGGGAATAGAGTGACTCCGGGGAAGAAGGGAGGGTGAAAGGGACACCTGGAGTAATAATGACCCAATTGACCTCAGGCCGTCCCCCATTCCAATAGTAACCTGGGTCACAAGGCCAACCCTGGTGGGCAACCCTTGGTTCTTGGTGGGGCTAAGGAAACAGGAAATCTGACTGGAGACCGTTGGGCTTCACAGGAAGAAGGAAACTGGGGGCTACAGGCTCAGGACCAAGGAAGCTTCCTCTATCCCCTCTCCCTTCCCTTTCTTCTTGGCTTGTGGTTGGGGATTATGTCCAACCCAACCCCACCCTCCAACACTCCACCATCTGCTCCTGGATTTCAGGAACCAGGAAAGAGCAGAACTGGTTGTGGTTAGTGGCCAGTTGGGTAACATAGCCCAGGGCCTTTCTGGGACAAGTTTAGTGTAGTTGGGAGGATTTGGGTTAATGATTCAGGATCATTCTGAAATAAAAGAGGGGAAAGTTTCTGTCTTGAGAAAGGTTGGCAAAAGGACTGCCATTCTCAGGCAGGAAAAGTCCCTACAACTTATGACTGTGTCCACCTCCCTGGGCCCTGGTCAGGCTGAGCACGTGGCTCTCCTATCCTGTTTTGGTCTAGCCCCACCTCCTACCTTCAGCCAATTTTCTGCCACTCATTCTTGTCTTCTGTGCTCAGACTACATCTTGGCCAAGGAACAAGGGAAAGCAACACACTCAAAACATCTACCCAGTGTGCTCAAGGATCTTGTCACCTGCTGGGAAGCAGAACCCAGGGGCCCATGAGAGAGGAGGCTGTTCTTTCAGCCTTGCTCTGCCAATGACTCGCTACGTATGAACTTGCTCAAGTGGCTTTTTGTGAATCAGGTTCTAAACTTTTATAGGCTTTTGGAAATACTTTTTAATCCTACAAGTCATATATCTTCATTGAGAAGTCAGAGAACACAAATGAGCAAAAATCAAGAATAAATTGAAATTACTTATAATCAAGTGAGATGTGGGTAATTTTTTTTCTTTTGAGGTTTGAAAGGACATAAGATGGAGCCAATATAACCAATGAGCAGTCATTTTAACATTGCTTAACTTTGTCATGTTTCTCTAGCAGTTCACTTTAACTTACCCTCTAATCACTAGCCAAGGGCAGAAGAGGTTTCTCTGAGGTAGCTATTGATAATTGTTTTACAACCCCCTCCCCAGCTTGTTTTTTACTAATTAGCTTTTCTATTTCAAGTATTTGCCTCCACCTGTAAGGACCCAAGTTAATCTAATCAGTTCTTCGTGACCTTCATGACACAGGTGGACCCAGACCCCATCACCATGGCAGCAATCATGTGTAACTAGCCCACCCATCTACCTCCCGTTCATCACCTTAAGTCAATACCTGTGCTTAACCGCCCTTTGTGATGATGTGGAGCAGACCACCACCTAATCACCTCAACTACCCGCCCCAATCAAAGGGAAGGGTTAAAAGGCATTCAACATCAAACAGTAGTTGCTATTGCCTTGCTAAGCTATGGTCTAGCCATGTGTTCTTTGAGCTATGGCCAGGCCATTTTTCCTAAGCTTTGGCCCCCTCTCCTACCTTGAGGAGGTGAATCTTCTCTCTCTCCTCTTCTCCCTTTCCTTCCCTTTCCTTCCCTTCCCCTCTTTCCTTGCTTCCCTCTTCCCCTCCATTCCTGCCCTCATTTGCCATTGCTTTACTAAACTCTGGTGTGTCCATGTGCTCTTTGAGCTATGGCCACCACCATGTTTTTCTAAGCATTGGCCCCCTCTCCTACCTTGGAGAGGTGAATCTCTTCTCTCTCCTCTCTCTAATTTGCTTTCTAAATGAACTATATTTTCCAGTCTAACTTCTGTGCAATTCTTTGCATCTCTCACACAGCACCAGATAGCATACACTCACCTTCCTCCCCCCATTGGGCCTGACCTAACATGTGGAGGTCCTGCTGGGGATATATCTTAACCTAACAAGGTTTATCATTGTTTTTCACATAAATGAGCAATAGGAAGGAAAATACTATCCCATAACTCCATCACTCACTAATACCCCATTTAATAATGGGATATCCTATACATAGATATCATAGATATTTTTAAAAAGTGATAAGAAAAAAATTAAATATTTTTTACTATCTACTTTTAGTACTTAACAGCTTTAGCCTGGACATCTTCCTATGTCAGTAATATATAGATTTATTTCATTTTTACATCTGCATAATATTTGTATAAATATTTTGTGTGATTTATTAACTAATCTTCCCTTGTTAGGTACTTGGGTTGTTTCCTATTTTTATTATTTTAAACAATACTAAAGCGAATATCTGTGGCATTAAATCTCTAATTATATCTTCAATTATTTCCTTAGGCAAGAAGTCTCAGAAGTAAAATTTCTGCATATTTGGGCGTGCACATTTGAAGGCTTTTCAATGTGTATAGTCAAATAGCCTGGTGAAGATTGTATCTCCCATCACATTCCCTGGCACCTTCACCAACCCTGAGTATTAGTGTCCTTTTATTCTTGTAAGGGAATTGTCAAGATTCAAAAGGGGTCAGGCATGGTGAATCGTAGCCGTAATCCCAGCACTTTGGGAGGCCAAGACAGGAGAATTGCTTGAGCCCAGGAGTTTGAGACCAGCCTAGGCAATGTAGTAAGACCTTGTCTCTACAAAAAAAAAAATTAACCAGGCATGGTGGCACATACCTGTAATCCCAGCTACTCAGGAGGCTGAGGGGAGAGGATCACCTGAGCTTAGGAGTTTGAGGCTGTGGTGAGCTGTAATTGTGCCAGTGCACTCCAGCCTGGATGACAGAGTGAGATCCCGACTCAGAAAAGGGAAAAAAAAAAAAGACTCAAGAGGGAAAAGACATTTAATGCAAACCCCTCATTGCAGAACTGAGAAAGGGGGAGCCCTGGAAAGGAAGTAACTTCGCCAAGGGCAACAGAATGGTGCAATCTCAATGTCAGGTCTCTTGACTCCCAAACCAGTACTCTTGGCCAGTTACTTCTGCACGCTTGTTCTGGCCTTTCATTCAGCCCTTTCTTCAAAAAGATTTTTTGAGCCTTGTCAGGTGCTGTGCTGGGCATTGAGCATGCTCCACTAAAAGAGCATAGGCCTCATCTTGGTCCTCAAGGAGCTCACACAGGAAACAGAAAAGCAAATAAATGACCCCCTAAGGGCCCGTGACAAAGGAAGACTTTCTTGAGGGTTTGATGCTTGAGACTCCTGTGAAGTATGTTTCCAAACTAACCAAGTGAACACAGGGAGAGGAGAACATTCTGGGCCCAGAGAATGACACAGCAAAGGCAGAGGCCCAGGATGCCACACTCTTGCTGACCTGCAGAGAAGTTCTTGTCCTGAAGCCCTGGGAAGCCATGCAGTCTGTGAAACAGAGGAGTCCCTGGTCAGAGTTACATCTTAGAAAGCTCACTTGGAACAGCGGTTGTGAAGGGTACACTGGAGAGGCCGGCCCAAAAGCTGAGAGGAAAACCCGGCAGGCAGCATCACTGAGATGCTGTCAAGAGGCCTGCCAGTCAAGAGGCCTGCCAGTCAAGAGGCCTGCTGTGCTTTCTCAAAGGCAACTACAAGGCAACAAATGTTTGAAAGGTCTTTTAAAAGAATGACATTAAAATTCCCTGAGTTCCCTACCTGCGTGGAGGTGGGAGAATTTTCAAGATGCAGAATCCCCACAACCCCTGCCTTAGGTTCAGGGCTGGGTCTGTGGGCTCACATGTGTGCAGGGGCTGGAGATGCTGTGTCACTTTGCAATGTTTCCAACCAATTAATAATGACCCAACTGGGGTCACTGCAAGGCTGTCGGTCTCCCCTGTCTGTACCTCTGCTGATCCTTCATCTAAGCCCTATTTGTCTGGCCTGAATGTTTCTGAAGTTCAAAAGACTTCTCAGCATATAGAGTAACCAGGAGAATGTGGCTCCCAGCGGAGATATTCCAAACAAGCCTTGCCCCATAAATTACCCTCCAGCTCCCCTCTCTGGTGGTGGCCTCTGGAGGGCACTGCTGAAACTGCTACATCTCAAGACTATAGTCATTTGAGGAAACACACACACACACACACACACACACACACACACACACACACACACACACACACACACACACACACACTGCCCTCCCTCCTTCCCACTTAGATTTCCCAAACACCCCCAACCCCAGGGTGAAGTCCAACTGCCTGTGGGATAACGGGCCCTCTTGGCTACTGCTTGCAAAACAGCTTGCTCTTTCTTCATGCTGTTTAGGAAACATTCAGTTGGGATTACAGCCAGATTTCCTCTGTGGGGGGGGTGGCGAGAAGGAGGGAAGGAGGCACCCCAGAAGGCTATGGAAGCTGGGGAGGGCGGAGGGAGAGCGACTGCTCAGACATGCCAGTTGCACCCAGGCCATAGATCATGTTTTATCTCTCTTTAAAGTTTTTAAAATTAATTTTTGAAGTCTGCTGGTAATACTTGAATCTGTTTTGAATAAAATTTAAGATTATAGACCAGGCTAAGGCTCTCTTTAGATGGGTCATAGTGTCATCCCCAGTTCCAGTCCCCTTCCTCCACTCTTTTTTTTTCTTTTGAGTTGGAGTCTGACTCTGTCACCCAGGCTGCAGGCTGGAATGCAGTGGCACACTCATGGCCACCCCAGCGTCGACCACTGGGCTCCGGTGATCTTTCCGCCTCA